GGGGGGGGGGGGGACCAACAGTGGTGGGGTGCATTTTTTTAAAAAATGAAAGGAGACAGATCATGGGGAAGAAGAAGGAGGGGTTATATTTTATTATAAAGAAACACAGTATAATACTGCGTTTTCCTTAAACACCGTATTATACTGTGTTTTCCTTAAAAAAATAATTTTTTAATAAAACACGGTACAATACTGCATCTTATATAAAAATATAACTTTTTTAACTGTATAAATGTATTTTAAGTACAAAAATACATCATTTCAGTTTCGGACACAAGATTTGAACAATCCAATGCATAAATATGGAAGGGGTAAGAGTGAGGCCATCAAATCCTCGATTTAAGAAAAAATTTGCTTGGATTTTACACTCTTTCTGAATGACAAGAAGTGGGAATTAAGAAAAATAAGTAAAGACTCGCAAAGCTAGCTAGTAACAGATCCAAAATTTTGTTGAACGGTAGCTAACAAGAAACGGTTTCGTTGTTAATCGATCCAAACAAAAGAAGAGATACAAAAATCTTTAAAGAGTGAATACTAACGTAACAAGTCATCCGAAGATTCGTCAACAACAATCAACCCCGGCCCCTTGTAGTTTTTACAGCATTTACTTCATCAACACTTAATCCACAGTTTTAACACTTTCGTCAAAATGAAGTGCATCACATTTACACTTGCATTCTTTTATTTACCTTTTGTAAAATCTAGCGACTACGCCAATGTGGTCGACTTCTTGCCGGTCTCTTGTTTTCTAATTGACAAAATTGCTTACGCAGAATATATTATATTTAAATAAAAACTACTTCAAGAGAGATTAGCCTAAGCAATAAAAATAGGAGGAACGCAACTACATAAAGCATTAAGCTTCCAAAACCATCTAAAGTTAAAGACTAATATGTAAATTTGCTAGTATATTCTCAACTCTTTTCAAATGTTATGATTTATGCACATTATGTATTTTTTTTAAATATATAAATATTTTTTATATTAATCTTAAAAAATTTATATTGGAAGTCACAACACAGAGAGTAGTAACCAAATGCTTTTTTAATTTAAAATGAAAATTATATGAACTGATATAAAAGGAGTACTATTACGTATTTTCTCCCATTTATACCTTTCCTCATCAGCATATCTAATCTTTACGTCTCACGCGGCAGGCCCATGCAGATGCCACGCGAACACAGATGTTTGATGAGAGGGCATAAAGACGGGATAAACTGCCACGTGTCTTGCTAAAAGGAAAGCCATGCACCATTCCGAGGGAACAAACTTTACCTGTCTTCAAACCTTCCAACAAAAAGTGGGACCCGCTTCTTTAACAAATTCTCCATATTTAGTACCGTATCAACAAATATGAGCACACTAGTCGCCCAAATATTGTTACAAATTAGCTTCGAAACGAAAAGTATGTTTTTATTAATAGGCAAAGAAAGAAACACTCAATTATATTGTTTTGTAAGCGAACAAAGCCCGATATTCATAGTTAAAATGATTGGAAATTTACATGTAAGGTGTATAGATTTTTTAATGATGTGAACTCTTTTAGGAAAAATTATATTGGCTTGGCCCAAACTGGATAATATTGCACTATTTTAAGAGTATTTGAGGGCTGATTTAGCCCAACAATTGGTATCAAAGCCCAGATTCAGCGGGAAAAGTACGGGGATGGCAGAGTGATGGTACGAGGCTTGGTCTCCTTACCCTTAGGAGCTTGAAAGCACACACACAAGAAAAAGCTAGTTGCAGGCTTCGGTTGCTATAATACTCTAACAATGTGGATGACACACATGAATCTCGAACATTGACCTATGAGTTGTAGTAATGGATCACATGGAACTTAGTTCGAGGGAGAGATCAGTGGAATTGTGGTAATGGGCACGTGGTACTTAGTTCGAAAGGGAGATTATTCGATGTGCGAACAAATCTCATATTAATAATTAAAATGACTAGGAGTATACATACAAAATGTAGTGATCTCTTAATGGTATGGGTTATTTTGAGAAAATCATGCAAGTTTGACCTAAATCAGACAATATCATACTATTTTAGGAGTACATGCGGGCTGATTTAGCTAACATTATTTTCTTCTTCTTTTCGTTTTTGAATTATATATTAATGACGAACAGAGTATGAAAGAAGTAATTGGATAACAATCGCTATAAAGAACTATTGAAATATGAACTCATTACACGACAGTTTAAACAATATTTTACATTCATTTTAATTTAATGAAACTTATAGACGATATTGTCTATTTCAAAGTTCCGCATGAACAGAAGGACGTGGATATACACTTGAAATGTACTCTTAAGAAAAGAAGGTTCAGCACATGGTAGAGCAGAAAGTAATTTGCCATAATATTGGATGGTTAACTTAAGATTGATGTTTGTACTCATACTCTTTAGTTACTTCTTTCACCCTCTTTAATTTGCCTCCTTTTAACGCCGTATACAATATTATGATTCATTACTAGCAGGGAGACAAAGCCGAAACGTACGTAACACTTTATGGACCTTAATTAGTTCACTCTACAATTACTTATATGCATGCTACCCTCGTTGGTTTCATAAAATTTAATCGAGTCTACAGCTTTAAGTAACCTTAAGTCCTTTACTCAATACTACAACACAGAGTAAAAATAAGAAAAATAGAAACGAGGGTGTTAATTTTTTTAAGTTCTATTGTATTAGGCACGTGAGATTATCATAAACCTTAGCTTAGAATAAATATATTTGTGTTACAGTGTGTTCGATTATCTTAAAGTAAGAAGTTCTTGAATTGCTTACAAGCATTTTAGGTCGTAAGAACTATTATTAGCTGTTAAGAACAATTATTTGTATTGATCAGTTAGTTAGGAGTTAGTGGAGTCACTAGTTAGTTAGAAATGACAGCTGTACCAATCAGCTAAGTAGTTAGCAAGTTATTTAGTGGTTAGCGACTTAGTTTTAGCTTAGTTGTACAATTGTATATAGTGGAGGTTCCACTCATTTTTCTTTTATCAATCAATTCAAAACGAAGTTCTGGAATCTTCTCTCATCTTCTTCCTCTCTCTCTTTGTGCTCTCATGGCGTGAAGATCACAGCTGCATCACCATTGAAACTCAACTTCAAGTTGCAGCAGAGCTTCAGCTACTGCTCTATTAGCTAATTCTGATATGGTATCAGAGCAAGGAGCGTCAATTTTGGACTCGCTTCACAAAGTTTGCTAGTTCTACTTCTGCTACTGACCATTCGAACTAGATCGCGCACGTGCAAATTCATTTCTCCATTGATTTCGAACTGTAGTTCTGAGGACAGGTTATGTTCCTACTTCTGATCTGTAATTGTTTGAGAATTGTTGCTAAATTCCTAATCACCATATTTTCTAGCCCTCAAATCGCTTAGAAATTCTGTGGATCATAAAGATGAGTACTGGTGAGGATGATAATCAATCAACACCGACTGTGACCGGGTTTCTTAACCAGTCAGGTGTTGATACTAGTAGTCCTTTGTATATGCATCCATCCAATAATCCTGGGGCAGCTCTAGTTCCTGCTCCATTTGATGGTTTTGGTTATCGATCATGGAGAAGAGGTGTGATGCGAGCATTATTTGTGAAGAATAAATTGGGATTTATCAACGGAGAGTGCAAAAGACCAGATCCAGATTCATCAAAATTTCGCCTATGGGAAAGGTGTGATTATATGGTCACATCGTGGATCTTGAACTCCTTGACCAAGGAAATTGCAGACAGTTTTGAATATGTAACTGATGCATTCAAATTGTGGAGAGAACTTAAGGATCGGTATGACCAAACAAATGGGACAAAGCTGTACCAAATTCAGGAAGAGATCAATGATCTATCTCAAGGATCCCTTGATATCACTAGTTATTACACAAAAATAAAAAAGTTATGGGAGGAACTTAATACCTTGATTTCCAAATCTCATTGCACTTGCAATTGCTCATGTGGAGCTAAGGAAAGTATGCATAAGGATGAACAAGATAGGAGACTGATACAATTCCTTATATGATTGAATGACATACACTGTTGTTCGAGGCAGCATATTGATGATGAATCCTCTTCCTCAATTTCTCAAGCATTTTCTTTGGTGATCCAAGAGGAAAGGCAGAGAGAAATTAAACCAAGTGGTCATTTAGCACTGGAGTCATCAACTTTGAATGCTAACACAATCAGACCTGGGACATTCAGAACAAACTACTCTCCCAACAACAATCACAACAACAGGAATATGCCTTTCTGTGATTATTGTAAGATGTCAGGGCACACCAAAGAGAAATGTTACAAGCTTCATGGATACCCATAGAACTTTGGCCACAATCAGAATCCAAATACAAGTCAAAGCAATTTCAATCAAAATGCTAGGCAGAACCCCAACTATAATTACAATTCAAACAACAACAACAGTAACAGATTCAGTAAAGGCAATAGAACAGTGGCCAATGCACATATAGCAACTACTGACACTCAACCTGCAGAGACTGAGAAGTATGGCAGTCATGATAATGCTCAGAATGTGAGTCTTACCCAAGAGGAGTATAGCCAGTTGGTGAGCCTGCTGCAACAATTTCAATCAGCAGGAGTAGGAGACCATGGAACTGGAGCCAATGCTACATCAGAAGCAGCAAACTTTGCAGGTATGATAGCTTGCACTTCCTCAATTGACTTTGGTGAACTCTCATGTGAATGTTTCAAGAACAAAGCTGATTCATGGATTATAGATTTAGGGCCATCAAATAACATGACCTTTAACAGATCCTTATTAACCAACATAATAAACTTACCTTATCCTCTGTTAGTCATACTTCCAAATGGCTACAAAGTAAAGGTGACAGAAATTGGTAGTGTGACTCTCACTTCTAAGATCACTCTAGATAAAGTGATGTTTGTTCCCACTTTCAGATACAATTTAATCTCTGTCCACCCTTTGACCTCTCACCTCAACTGTCTTGTTGCCTTTGTCAAACTTTGATGTATATTGTAGGCCCCTTCAATGAAGAGGCCTCTAGTGATTGTTAAAGTGAGAGATGGGATGTACATCCTATGCCCAAGTTGTTTGAAGAAGAACAATGCAAGCCCTGCAGTAAAGGACAATCATATACTACCTACCATTTATACTTATTGCACTTGTAACACACAATGTCCCTCTCATTCTACTGTAAATATACCATTATATACCAATAAGTGTGTATCTTTTCCAATTGAAAGTAATTCATGTGCAAGTGTTAAAGAACAAACTTCTTTTGCAAGTCCATCTTCCGAATTTCCTAGCATATTCTCTCATCCTTGGGCTGAAAATAATGTGAATGTGTTGTGGCATAATAGACTTGGACATGTCCCCTTTGTCAAAATGAAGAAGATTACCTCTATACCTGCTAACTTCTCCGCAAAACAACCTTTCAACTGCACCATTTGTCCAATGGCTAGACAAGAAAGACTACCATTTCCTCAGAAAACCAGCACAACTAACAGAATCTTTGAACTTTTACATGTTGATCTGTGGGGTCCATATCATGTTCCTACACATGATAGACATAAATATTTTATAACCATAGTGGATGATTATAGCAGGTCCACTTGGACTCACCTCTTATCCAGCAAAAGTAATACCATTGAGATACTCAAAAATTTCATGAATCTAGTGGAGAACCAGTTTGGTGTAACTATCAAGTCCATAAGGTCAGATAATGGACTGGAGTTCACCAATAGAGAAACAACCATGCTATTCCAATCTAAAGGGATCATTGATCAAAGAACTTGTCCCTACACAACATAGCAGAATGGTGTGGTAGAGAGAAAACATAAATACCTTCTTGAAACAGCCAGAGCCCTCCTTTTACAATCCAAGCTACCCCTAAGATATTGAGGTGAATGTATCCTTTGTGCCACTTATATAATAAACAGACTACCATCCAATTCCATCAGCAATAAGACACCATATGAGTTACTATACAGAAAAAGGCCAAAATACTCCCACCTTAAGAGCTTTGGTTGCCTATGTTACCCTAATGTTCCAGTACCACATAGGGATAAGTTCAATCCCAGAACAACACCTCATGTATTTGTTGGATATCCTTTCAACACAAAGGGGTACAAAGTTCTAAGTCTAGCCACTAGAAAAATTCATATTTCCAGAGATGTGGTGTTTAATGAATCCATTTTCCCTTTTAGTGTTAGTGTGAACAAATCTTCTAAATCATTTATTCCTTATCCAATTCCTTTCATTGAATCTCTAAGTGAACAACCTTCTGAGAATACAAATGTCACACAGACTCCTAAAATCTTGAATGATCAAAGAAGTGTAGACAACACATCTGTTTCTATGTTACCTATGCATGTAGCTAGCCCTTCACCTTCTGGAACACCTAGATCTTCACCACCTAATGTATCATCACAACATAACACTGAATAGACCAATGTAGAACAAGTTCATCCAACAAGACAGTCACACATGGTTCACAAACTTCCCACATACCTGCAGGACTATGTCCATTCCCTACCTCAACTTAAAACTAATTTTGCTTCCCTAAATGCTTTGTTCTCTGTTAATCACCATATTGCCTCTGATCTACTAACTCCTGATAGTCAGACTCTTGTGAGAAATGTTTTTCATGACAGGGAACCATCATCATATGAGGAGGCAGCCATTGATCCTGCATGGCAAGATGCTATGACACAGGAATTTGATGTATTATACTCTAACCACACTTGGGATTTAGTGATGCTACCACCTGGGAAGCAAGCAATTGGTTGTAGGTGGGTGTATAAGGTGAAACACAAAGCAGATGGTAGCATTGAGAGGTTCAAGGCCAGGTTGGTTGTCAAAGGTTACTGATCACGCCCAACTCTAGTCCTAAAGAGGATAAGCGATCGCTGCAAATATAATCCGGTCTAAAAGTCCGGAGTCGAATCCCATAGAGAACTAAGGCTTAGCTATATCTGTTTAATATCACTAAAAATACAAGTTTGAACAATTTTCTAAATTATAAAGATTGAGATTTATATTTCTAACTAATTAACTAGCAAATACTAGAAAACGGTAAAATTATCAACTAACAAGACAAAAGTTTGGAGACTAAATTAAAGAGGCCTAGAGTTATAATTTCCCCAATTGTCGGAATCCTTCTAGATATATTCCCTACAATTTCGCCAATGTATTATCTACTGATCGTGAGCACTTTAGGTGTCGTAATTCTCTCTCGAGCAACTACAACAATTTACTAGACATATTCTCTCGAACTACGCTAGTTGGCTTTATCTAAGCGCTCATTATGACCACGTCAAGGCTTTGTTATTTCTAAACCTACCTTTAAACCCGCTGTATTAATTTCTCACATACGTTAGGAGTGGCGTTGTTCAACAATCACCTAAATATGTATCCTTCTCAAGCAACACATAATAAATAGGCACAGTTAATCAATGGCCATTCAATCAACAACAATAAATACGTAGTTGAACAAGTAGAGAAATCCAAAGGCTCAATTATATAAAAACATAACAAGAATTTGTCCTACAAAAGGTTCTATCAAAACCCTAGATAACAATTTAGCTATTCATAATAGTATGTAAAACTACAATACTAAAAATCATAACCAACAATGAAAAATAGGAAGAGGAAGGAAAAAATCGTTGAAGAATTTCCCGCCTTGCTCCTATTGTGTTCTTGACTCCTTAGGTTGAATCCTCGGTCTCCTTAGCCTCCTTAGGTCTAATTTTTATGTCAAAAGTGTGTCCCACCCTTAAAAATATCGTTTTTCCATGTATATATACCTAGTAGGGTCGGACCCAAACAATTATACCTTCTCCTACACGAAAAAGGACAATATTTCACGTCTGGACTGCCGCGGTCAACCGCGGTCAACCGCGATATATGGCAGGTATACTGCCTCAGCCCGCCTCAGCTCCGCGATCGCGGTTTCGACCGCGCTTTTCACCCTGTTCCGTTTGGAATTTGAAAACACGTAAAACATGAAAGTTGTAACCCTTTGAGTTAGCTTTCCAACCATATATTGTGGAGCCCAAATGAAGTTTTGAGCAAAAGGTTATGTGCATTTTACTAGACAGTATGCAATATGCCTACTCGAGTCTTCGTTTTGTTGCTTTATCATCCGTTGATTCCCGAATACGATCCAGGCTTAATTCTTTGGGCTTTTACTCAGACTTCAAAGCTCCAAATCACTTGAATTCATTCCATAACATCTATATAGCTCGAAATCACTCCTACAAGGCATAATACACACCGTTAGTGCAAAACACTATCGATTAAAGCGCAAACTCAACTAAAGTGCAATAAATTAGAGTGTAATAATCGACTAAAATACGCAATTATAGCCGATCATCAACACCCCATAGTTAAACCATTGCTCGTCCTCGAGCAATCAAACTACACTTTATATAGACACGACCTTTTTAAACAATTTTCCTAACTCATCACACCAAGAATATTTAAAATAGACTAAGCACAAAAGGGTAACATCTTCACTTCAAGATTTGACTCACAAGTACCACGTATTATTCCCAACTCACCTACTTACTCTAACATAGAGGTCACTGACATTACCTTTCCTTCATGAATCATGTGCCCTCACACAACAAAGAGAGTAGTTCCACACAATAAAATTTAAGAACACTTAGGAACACAAGATAGAAAGAATTCACTCACTCTCAGAAATAATATTCATATGCCACAAAAGATGCACCATAAGCTTGCCCGTAGTGTATTACTCCACTAATAAAGCTCATTCAATCTAAGATCAATTAGGACTTTATTTGGTTATAGTGTAGGCTACGGGACGGGTAGGATACATTTATATATAAGAGTGACTACACCTCCCTAAGCACTTTAATACATATACTTTAACTTTCAAACACAATACTTATGTCAAACCAAAACTCCACCTTCACATCAATGTATATTATCCCATTCTTTTTTAAGCGCACTTACATCAAGAACCACCACTTATCAAGGATTTTTTTTACAACAATCCAACTACTTTTTTTTAATTCAAGTGGCTCTTACTTTTTCAAAACAGTGCACCTTTCTCCTTATTTAATTTGTTCCACTCAAAAGCCAAACCAACCACCCCACAATTTAACCTTTACAAAGTTCATTAACAATTCAAGTGCTCATGAAAGGTTACAATGGTTCAAATAGATGGTTAATTCGAACAAATGGGTAAGGCTTGTAATGTGGTTGGCAAAGAAACAATATTACAAGCTCAAAAGGGTTAACTACGATACATAACAATTAGGCGGATAAAATATACATATCTGGCTCAACAAAGAAACGCCTATATCACGTCTAAGACTGAACAAAACTACTATTTCGCTTTGCAAACACACGGGGCAAGTTCTAGGCATCAAATGCAATACACAGAATGACACAAAACCTTGCACATACATGGCACATAACTCACTTAGGATTGGATTCATAGACACTCTAGTCAAAGCAGTTAAGCAAAGTTAAGATCATACAATTTAAGGTACTTATACAAGAGTCAAAAACTGAGCCTAAGTGTCACAACCAAAGTACTCACTATTCTCAAGGCATAACAAAGTTAAGAGATATTGCTTAAATTCAAAACAGAATACAATGGCTCCTACTCCAAAAAAAATAACTATATCCGGTTCAAACAAAACCCTTGGAAAATAACCGTGGTTTAAAAAAAAACCAAGGGGTAATTGCTACACTACCTAACAAAAGAAAATCTTTTTGTTTTTTTTCTTTAGACTTAAATCCCTCAAGAAAATTGTCTAATAGATCCATCGTCGGGAAAAGTCCAATCTTTTCTATTTTAAAAAAAAATTATTCAATTAAACTAACACAACTAAAATAGCATAGAAAGTCACTCAGACAATCTTTTCACCCCACACTTAAAATTGTGCATTGTCCCCAATGCACACCATAACTAATAAAAGGGTAAAAGAAACTCCCTGGTAGGCCAAAGGCCGAAGCACTAACAGCTCATGGGGTACTCAGACTTCTCCCAAGCTTGGTCCTTCGTGTGGGTACCTCACACTTAGTTCCAACCATTTGGTTTGTTGTTGCATCTTTCCAATACCTTTGCTTTCCATGCTCCTAGAAAATAAAAAAATTGACACTACAAAAATAATTCAATTAAAAATAAATAAATAAAAGAAAGCAATAAAGTTGGGTTGCCTCCCAACAAGCGCTTGATTTAACGTCGTGGCACGACGCGAATCACTTTTTGCCTCCACCTTGAGCTTATAAATTGAACCCCCAATTTGGCATCAAATTTTCGCTATGATCTAGGGGTGGAGGAACAAATCTAATTGGCCCAAGCAACCATTGTACTATTCTACACTTCTTGGCTTTTAGATGAGGTATGTAGTCCTGTCTTTCTGCCAAGAAAAATTCCAGACTGTATGCACCTTGTTCCTCATTCCTTGACTCCTCAATCGGCTCGGATGACTCTATTTCCATATCATCATCCAAGCCCAATGTGGAAAAATGTTTGGAGTGAGGACCAATTCGCTCAAACACATGAACTTCAGGACTTTCAGCATCCTCAACATCAATGATACTAGAGTCAACATAATTTGTATCCTCAATATCCTTGGCGGACTCTAGTCCCACTTCTTCAACATTGACATCCTCAAATTGTAGTTGGCTAGGTTGTTGATGTTCTACTCTGGCCTCCCCAATTAACACCTCAAATTCATGTTTTTCTTGGCTACTATCCCCAATATTAGCTTGTTGAGCATTAACAGCTCCAACCACTTGACTCAATTGAGCCTCCAAGTTGCGAATAGTTGCCTCTTGCTTCTCTATCTGTAGTTGTTTCTCATTATTTTGTTCGAGAAGGCACTTTAACATATCCTTGATCTCCTTCAGGTCTGCATCCCCAGGCTCTTTGTTCCTGCTAACTTCACAAGAAAAGGTAGAACCATCATAATAAGGGGTTGGGGGAAGATAAGAAATATAAGCACAACCATAAAAGTGACCATTTTTACCACCACACACATCACACACATTCCACAAATAAGATTGAGTTGGTGCACATAACTCGCTCTTAGGAAAGTTTTGAAAATTTTGTCATGGGTGGTTTCCTTCACAATATGTATGGAGATTAATAGTAGAATTATCTACACCTAAATTCCCATAATTCCAAGATGTCATGTTTCTCAAATCAATAGCTATAAAAAAATAAAAAATACAAAAAAACAAAACAAAATAAAAGTTCAAGCTCGAAACCTAGCAATATATACAGTTACAACTATACCGTTAGTTCCCGGGCAACGGCGCCAAAATTTGATCACGCCCAACTCTAGTCCTAAAAAGGATAAGCGGTCGCTGC